TGATTGCTATCTTTTTATGTACTTCCATATTAAATTACCTAATAATTCATTTGGAATTTTAATAAAATCCCTGTTTTAAAAATGTATTTATTGGGCTGGGATTGTGGCTCAGTGGTAGAGTGCTCACCTAGCATCGGCGGGACCCGGGTTCGATCCTCAGCACCATATAAAAATAAAGGCATTGTGTTGTGTCCAAATACACCTAAAAAAAAAAAAAAGAAAAAGATTTGTTTAAAAAAATAGAATTATTTATTTATTTTAATTAGGTATATATGACAGCAGAATGCCTTTTGATTCATTGTAAAACAACTGCAGCACAATTTTACATTTCTTGGTTATACACAATACAATGCCGCACCATATGTGTAGTCATACATGTACCTAGAGTAATGATGTCCATCTCATCCACCATCTTTCCTACCCCCATTTCCCCTCCCCACCCCACCCTTCCCTTTGCCCCATCAAAGTTCCTCCATTTTCCCAATGTTCCTCCCCCCCCATTATGCGTCAGCATCTACTTATCAGAACATTCGGCCTTTGGTTTGGGGGGATTGACTTACTTAGAATGATATTCTCCAACTCCATCCATTTACCTGCAAATGCCATAATGGAACCACCATTTGACCCAGCTATCCCACTCCTCGGTCTATACCCAAAGGACTTAAAATCAGCATACTATAGTAATGCAGCCACATCAATGTTTATAGAAGCTCAATTCACAATTCATAAGCTGTGAAAGCAACCTAGATGCCCTTCAATAGATGAATGGATAAAGAAACTGTGGTTTATAAACATAATGGAATATTACTCAACATTAAAAGGGAATTAAAAATCCCTTTTTAAGAATGAGACTGCCACTCATTTTCCTTTTGGTCCTGTTCTTATCTGAATTCAATGTCAAGATGATAATGGCTTCATGGAATGAACTGGAGAGTATTCTCTCTCTTTCTGTTCTCTGAAGGATTTGACCTAAACTCGAAACGATCTCTATGTTGAAACTCTGATAGATTTATTTGTAAAATTATTTGGGTTACTTGTTTTCTTTGTGGGAATCATTTAATATTTATTCAGTAATTTTAATTTTAGGACTCAATGCATTCTATTCTTTCAATCAGTTTTGGTAAGTTATATTTTCAAGAAACTTCTGCCTTTATCTCAGTTTTTAAATTTATTGACCCAAAAGTTACTCTTTGCTCTAGCTGTATTTCTGTCCCTCTTTCCCTAATATTAGGTATTTGCACCTTCTTTTCTTTTTCCCCTTAATTACTTTTGCCAGAAGCATTTTTTTTTTCATTCGACTTTTCAATGAAAACTTTTGTCACTTTAAATTCTAACTTTGGTTTCTATTTCACTGATTTTCCCTCTTTCCTATATTATATTTTTTTTCTTCTATGCTGTTTGGGTTTGTTCTTTGGGCTTATTTTATTCTTTTTCTAACATGTATCTTAGGCTTATACATTTTCAACCTTCAATTCATATGTGTGTGTGTGTGTGTGTGTGTGTGTGTGTGTGTGGAGAGAGAGAGAGAGAGAGAGAGAGTTTTTTTGTTTGTTTTTCTCTCTGTGTGTGTGTGTGTGTGTGTGTGTGTGTGTTACCAGGGATTGAACCCAGGGGCACTCAATCACTGAGCTACATCTCAGCCCTTTTTATATTTTATTTAATTTTTATATGAATAGGAACTTTTAAAATTTTGTTCTAATTAGTTATGCATAATAGAATATATTTTGATGTATTCTACATATATGGAGTATAACTTCTCATTTTTTTGATTATACATAACATAGGATTACATTGGTTGTGTAATCATATACGCACATAGGATATTGTCTGATTATTTCTATTATCTTTCCTATTCCCGTTCCCCCTCCCCTGCCTTCATTCCCCTTGGTCTAATCCAAAGTACTTCTATTCTTCTCTAAACCCTCTCCCATTGTGAATTAGCATCTATATATCAAAGAAAACATTTGGCCTTTGATTTGATTGGTTTATTTCACTTAGCATAATATCTTCCAGCTCCATCCCTTTACAGGCAAATGCCATCATTTTATTCTTCTTTATGGCTGAGTGATATTCTATTGTGTATATGAACCACATTTTCTTTATCCATTCATTTGTTGAAGGGCATCTAGGTTGATTCCATAGTTTAGCTATTGTAAATTGAGCTGCTATAAACACTGATGTGGCTATGTCACTGTAGTATATTGATTTTAAGTCCTTTGGGTATAAACTGAGGAGTGGGATAGCTGGGTCAAATGGTGGTTCCATTCCAAGTTTTCTGAGGTATCTCCATACTGCTTTCCATAGTGGTTGCACCAATTTGTAGTGCCACCAGCAATGTGTGAGTGTGCCTTTTCCTCCATGTCCTTGCCAACATTTATTGTTACTTGTATTCTTGATAATTGCCATTCTGACTGGAGTGAGATGAAATCTCAGTGTGGTTTTAATTTGCATTTTTCTAGTTGCTAGAGATGTTGAACATTTTTTTCATATATTTGCTGATCAATAGTATTTCTTCTTTTGTGAAGTGTCTGTTGAGTTCCTTAGCCCATTTATTGATTGGGTTATTTGGTTTTTTTGGCATTAAGTTTTTTGAGTTCTTATATTTTATTTTGAGAGGGGGTCTCACTAAGTTGCTGAGACTTTCGTGAAATTGCCAAGGCTGGCCAGGAATTTGCAATCCTCCTTCCTCAGCCTCCTGAGTTGCTGGGATTACAGGTGTGTCCCATCCCACCCAACCCTGATTGTATTCTTATGGTTTATCTCTCTCTCATTCTCAGCTTCCCATTTGTTTGTTTGAAGCAAAACAAACAAACAAAAACAATTGCATTGGAGAACTGAAAATCTCTTTTTACACTTGAAACTATTCAAGGTGAAGTTACATAATGGTATTTTAAAGAAACATGGCACATTGATAATCTCAGTGACTCAGGAGGTTCATGCAGGAGAATTACAATAGAGACCCTAAGCAACTCAGTAAGACCCTGTCTCAAAAATAAAGCTGGGCACAGTGGTGCATGCCTGTAATCTTATTAATTGGGAGGCTGTGGCAGGTTCTCAAATAAAAGACAAAAGGGACTGGGACTATAATTCAGTAATAAAGTGCCCCTATGTTCAATCTTGATACAAAAGAAAAGAAATGGAAAGAAAAAAGAAAGAAGAAAAAGTAAATAAAAAGTAAAAAGGGTTGGGGATGTAGCTTTGTGATAAAGTGCCTCTGGTTTAATTCCCAGTACCTAAATGAATATGGGTCAGTATATTATTTTCAAAGACCAATCTGTTTCTCAATAGAAGTATTTCTACATATTTACGTATTTAAGGCAATATATAGTGACTATGTGGGAACTTTGAGTTTAATGGTTCTGTGATGAAACCCTGCTGATGGAGTCCCTAGGTATGTGCCCGTGGACAAGTTGGGTGGCCTCCCTAAATCACTTCTTAAAGATCTGGAATCTGGGATAATACTACTTACTACTACTTTATTGTGTTGTTGTATTGATAAAATAGTTGTAAACTTGACATAGATAATTCAATAAGTGCCATTATTATTACTACTATTCCATAATAGATGCTTGATTAGTGCCGCAGTCTGGCTGGGCACAAAATCACGAGCCACCATACACCTTGTAGATTCAAACAGCAACTCTTTATTTCCGAACTCACACTGGCACTCTACACGCACGTTCTGGGGAAAATCCACACTTCCACTGKGCTCTGCATCCCCAAATACTCTCTGAATCCCGCGAGAACTCAATGGGAACTCAAGGAGCGGGTGGGTGCTTGAGGCAGCAGGATACACCCTATTCCCAGCAGGGTCCACCGTAACCCTGGAACCGCCCTAAACCCAAGGAGCAGGATACTCCCTATTCCCAGCAGGATACACCCTAAACCTGGACCCACCCTAATCCAGCAGGATCCTCCCTAAACCCGGATCCACCCTGGTCCTTGAGCAGGGTCACCTTTCATGCAATGTCACTGCAAATGACCTGGGTCCAAGGGAAGCCCATTTCYACAATGGAGAGTCCTTCCTCTAAGCAATATGGCTACCCCAATATGGCTGACAAGGAAATTGCCATGCATCATTCTTATTTAGCTATGGCTCTCAGCAGATTAGTATTTTTTTCACCTACATGAATGATTTATTTAACTATATAACTTTGCTATATTACTTTACTTAGCATTTATGAGAAACTATTTTATTTGGAGAAAATAACTTGATGAATGTGTAAGATATGAAACAGGTATTTCTTTATGGAGACTGTGCTTTTACTTTGGAATAAATTCCACAGCCATCCTGTGTTTTAAGAAGCATGATACAATCCAGGCTTGGGAGTGCACACCTGTAATCCCAGCAGTTTGTGAGGTTGAGGCAGGAGGATCACAAGTTCAAAGCCAACCTCAGTAAAAGCAAGGCGCTAAGCTACTCAGTGAGACCCTGTCACTAAATAAAATACAAAATAGAGCTGGAATATGGTTCAGTGGTCGAGTGCTCCTGAGTTCAAGCCCTGGTAACTGCGCCCTCCCAAAAGAAGCATGATACAGACTTAGAAATAGTTTTAGATAATTAAATAGAAATATTATTATTATTTTGCAAAAATATAGGGATTGAACCCAGAGGCATGCTAATGCTGAGCTGCATCCCAAGCCCCTTTTATTTTTTTCTTTTGAGACAAGGTCTTCAATAAGTTGCTGAAGCTGGCCTCAAATTTGCAACCCTCCTTCCTTAGCCTCCCAAGTCTCTGGGATTACAGGCATGTGCCACCATGCCCAGGCAAATGCATTATTTTTTAATTAAATATTTTTTATGTGACTTACCATCATAGTCACAGATATTGTGGGAAGTAAGGCATTGGCATTTCTAACTCAAAGTATATATTATGTGAAGATCTAATAGTGTTTTATGGTCACTGTGAAATCACTATTTTACTCGCAATTTTTTGTAAACTGATTGATTATGCGTGCAAACTTAATTTAATTTGAAAAGCTGATTTTCTCCCCCACAGATTCTAATTTCAGTGACCCTGTTACTGGAGCACCAGTTCAGTACTTACAAAGACTTTCCAAAATGGCTCTTTTGGAGTTTAATACCATTCGTCAGGAAACAAGTAAAAAATCAAAAAAAGGCAAGAAGCGAGAGTTACGAGACTGCTGATAAATACCATATGATGTGATGCTTTCTTCACTGCTTTTTAAGGTTTATAGTTGCTTTTTTTTTTTTGATATGTGATATGATGTGCAATGATTTACATAAAAATGGAAATGTAAATAGGAAATAAATATTTTATGTTATACGTGGAATGGTTTGTATTTTGTTAATATCACAAAGAGTCATTTAAATTAAGGGAATATAAGCATTAGAGAAATTATATTCCCTGAATTTTATGTACATTGATTTTTTCCTTTAGACTTAATTGACTCAACATTATTTGAGTACCTGTCTGTGCAATGAACTTTGCTGCAGAAAGTCTTCCTGGAAGACAAAAGAAGACGGAAAGAGGAGGAGAGTCCGTGTCCTTGCATGTTTTATATTAATTTACACAAATACACTATTAATATGTATGTGTTTGTCTGCATTATTACAATGGATTAGTTCCTAGGAGGATAACTAATTTAAATGGATTTGTTTATATTTTGATTGGGATCATATGAATTTTGATCATATGAGAACATGTGAATTTTCAAAATCATATAAATTTTGATTGAGAATGATTTAAATACTACCTATACTTAAAAAGTATTCTCAATAAAAATTTGGTGACCTCTCTTGAACGAGCACTTCTTTGACTGTCAGGTGGATTTCATTTATTGAACTACCATGTCCTCTTGACATTTAGTATTATTTATTAACCTTACGAAGACCTTAAAAAATAAGATGATATTATTCCTGTTTTATAAATGGAATAAATTGAGTGTCTTTGTTTTATACTATGTCTCTAGCTAGAAAGTGGAAGAACTAAGATTCTAACCTACTAGGATTCAAAACTCCCATACAAAACTTCATGGCATAATAATTTTTAAAACCTTAAGTTCAGTTGATAAAGTCATGATTTAATTCCTTAAAATTTAGGGCAAGGTAACACTTCCACAGGCAAAAATATTTCTTAATATTGAGTTGAGTTTGCAAGTTCTGACATTGACACATCTTGGAGCATTTATACTGGTAAGTGGAGACCAGGATTATGTACATGGATAACCATGTCTCCCTCATCCCTCCATTTGCCCCATGAAAGAGTTCACTCAAGTCAGTTCAAGAAAGGATTAGAATGTTTATTTCTTTTTAATAAATGAGATGTGCTGACAATAGTTAATCACCTTTTCAGCCTTGGGATCAAATAACTTATGTTTTTCATTAAATCTTAAAAAAAAAAACCTACAGGCTCTACTTCCTTAGATCACATTTAATATTTTTTTTCCTCAAGAAGTTTTTAGAAAAACCAGTATGTATTTAGTACACAGAAGACACAAATCACCCCCAAGTAAGATTAACCTAAGATTTAGAGATAAGGGTGAGAGGTAAACTTTTGACATTGCAACCACCATGCATATTACATTTATGTTTGGGATTGAAGACAATCTTGCCAGAAATAAGCCTTTTGCATTTGGGATCTGGAAAACCCCTCCAGTGTAAGCAATATCAATCATAACCACGGAGAACTGTACCTTCTGATAAATATTTAGGATGGGAAGATGGAGTCTTGATTTTTAAACTGAGAAAACACTTCTTTATTAAGAATAATTACTTCAGTGAAGGACAAATTCTGTCAATGAAGTTCCAATGAAATTTCCTAAGATTCATTTTCTTTTCTCTAATTCTCTGCTCACCAGGGAGCCTTCTTATATATAATTTAGATTCCCAAAGGAATATATCCATTAAAAAGCAATGCCTTGGGCTGGGGCTGGGGCTCAGTGGTAAAGCGCTTGCTTTGCATGTGTGAGGCACTGGGTTCCATCCTCAGCACCACATAAAGGTAAATAAAGATATTGTGTGTTCATCTAAAACTAAATAAATATTTTTTTTAAAAAAAGCAATGCCTTCTCTGGATGATAAGGCTTAGATCTGGGAATGTGTGTGCTATTTTGGTTTTTGAAGACAAGACTTTGGTTTTTGGAGACAAGACTCTGCTATGCTGCCAAGGCTGACCTCGAACTTCCGAATCTCCTGCCTCAGGCTCCTAAATAGCTGGGATTGCAGATGTGAGACACAACACGCAGCATGCATTCGTTAAATAATGCACCTCTATACCCCTATTCTAATTTTTTTTTTTTTGGGTGCTAACCCTAATCCTAACCCAGGGATGCTCTACCACTGAGCTATATCTCCAATCTTCATAATTTCTTTTTAAAATTTTGAGATAGGGTCTTAATAAATTGCCCAGGCTAACCTCAAACTTGCAATCCTCTTATCTCAGCTTCTGAAGTAGCTGGGATTACAGGAATGTACCACCATGTCCAACTCTCTTCTGGTTCTTGAAACTGAATTGGAATATAGTTCACTGTTGATTGCATATAGTTCACTATGGTTGATCTGGATCAAAATTTCCTGGAACACAGTGTGTTCAAGGTAGCAAATTTGCTGAGTGCGGTGGCACACACCTGTAATCCCAGGGGCTCGGGAGGCAAGGCAGAAGGATTGATTGCAAGTTCAAAGCCAGCCTCAGCAAAGGCGAGGAGGCACTAAGCAAGACACTGTTTCTAAATAAAATACAAAGTAGAGCTGGGGATGTGACTCAATGGTTGAGTGCCCTTGAGTTCAATCCCTGGTACCCCTCAAAACCAAAAACAACTACAACAATATGGTATAAGATTCAATTCTTTATGCATTTGGGGAAAATTTTTTCATTATATCTTCAAAAACTTAACTCTTTCTGTGCTATAGTTTTGAGTTTTCTACTTCAGAAACACAAAATATCTTTATTTGGGATCATCTTCATCTGTTATAAGAATCTGCAGGATTGAAGGATCAGAATTTGTGAATATTTTCTATTTTCTCTCTGATTGCTTTAATCTGTGGAACTTTTTTACTCTCCTAGGTGCATTCACCATTGATTATTTTAGTGTTTCTTCTAGGTCAATTTAGTCTCTAACTATACCTCTTTTCTTCCTTTCTGTCTAATTTATTAATTCTGCAATGATACTATTTATGTATCTAGTTTTGTTTTCTTAGGTCTATAATCACTCATTATCTAATTCTCTGTGCAGGAATTAGCAGACCCCACTCCCCCTTTTTTTTAAGGCTAAGTAGTAAATATTTTAATCTTGGCAGGCCATACAGTATCTATTGCAACTACTTAACTCTAACATTGTATCATGAAATAGTTACAGACGATCTGTAAATTAATGGAAATGACTATGTTCCAAGAAAATTTCATTCTCAGTAACAGTACTATGTTTAGCAATAATGCTTTTAAAGTAAGTTACAATGTTCCTCTTAGTCCTCCTTAAGGCCGTCTGTGAATTCACTGTCTCTGAGGTTCCTTAACAAGTTTTCCTGGGAGTGGGTGCCTCTTTGGAGGCATCTTGATCATTACCAGGTTGATTTAATAATAAATGCCTATTAGTATAGGGCATTGTGCTAAATGCGTTTTATCTACAATCCTATGGCAACTTCCAAAGAACCCAATTTAAAAATCTTTAGGTATCTCATTCTCCATTCCCTTAAGAAATATTATACACCTTCTCTTTTCTCTTTAAATTTCCAAGACCTTTCCCACCTTCTCAATGAATTAATTGACTCTTCTTAATGCAACTGAGAAAAAAGGAGCAATTAGAAATAACTTCATTCACTCCAAACCCTGATCTACAAACCCACCTGCCCCTGTACTCATCCACACCCTCTCTGTGAGAACCCCTAGAGGGATTCCCAAGAGCCCCTTCACTTGCACAGCAGGTAAGTCCCTATCTCCTCTCACGACGGCAATTGCATCCCTGAATCATTACAATGTCCCCTCTTAACTTCATCATTTCCACCACTGTAAAAACTTGCTACAGAATCTCCAGTCCTAACTGAAGACATACCTCCTGTGATCTGCTACTCCATTTGTTTGCCTTTATAGCCAAGCTCCTTTGAAGTGTGGTACACCCTCTGTACTTCCTCCAAATGCTTTTCTCTCTTGAATTTGCTCCATTTAGGCTGTTGTGCACTACTGTTATGTTTAAATATGAGGTGTCCCCCCAAAACACACGTGTGAGACAATTATGACTGTTCCAAGGGGGAAACGATTTGATTATGAGAGTTGTAGCCTAATCAGTGGATTAATCCACTGATACAGATTAACTGGGTGGTAAGTGTAGGCAGGTAGGGTGTGGCTGCAGGAAGTAGATCACTGGGGGAGTGCCTTTGGGCTTCCCATTTTATCCCTGATGAGTGAAGCTCGATCTCTGTTTCCTGGCTGCTTCCCTCTGTCCTCAGAGAAGGGCATGATCCTGGGCAAGGTGCCCTTTTGCCATGATGTTCTGCCCTGCCAGGGTCCAGAGCTATGGAGTTGGCTGACTGTAGACTGGATCTCTGAAACTGTGAGCCCAAATAAACTTTTTCTCCTCTAAATTGTCCTTGTCAGGTATTTTGGTCACAGAGACACAAAAGCCAACTAAAACAACTAACCACTCACTAAAACAGCTCTTGTCTGATGACCTAGTGTATCACAAGCCAATAGAACTTCTTCTTTTATTTGACATATCAACTGGCATTAGACATAGTCAATCTCTCCCTCCTATTTGAAGAGACTTCCAGGACATAATTTTCTTTCCATTTTCTTCTTACCTTTCTGGCCACTTCTTTTCAATCTCTTTTTTTTCAAAGTCAATAKCTAGTAAAGTGGCATATTTGAGATTCAAGCCACTCAAAGGCAAAAATTTCTCCACCTTCCTCCTTCCTCCCTCCTCCCCTCCAATTCTTCTTCTTCTTCCTCCTCCTCCTCCTCCTTTTTCTTCTTGTTCATRCTGGGGATTGAACACAAGATGCTTTACCACTGAATGACATTCCTAATCCTTTTTGTTTTGAGACAGGGTCTTGCTAAGTTGTGGATGCGGACCTCAAACTTAGAATTCTCCTGCCTCAGCYTCCCAAGTCACTGAGATTATAGACATGTGCCACGGCACCTGGTACATTTATTAATTTCTATATCCTGAGTAGTTATCACTGTGTCCAGCACA